TACATAAGCATTGTGATCATAGCCATGTATACAATACACCTGGCCATTGTCCCATGCCCAATCTTGATACGGAAAGACTAATCACTCGTCTTTTTGAAGGAGTGAATTGAATATTGAATATGTTCTTTGGCATGTTGGATGACGTATGTCCAGATCACAGTTTCACGACTACCATCGAGTATGTTTTCATTTCAGTTGTTTAAACAATGTAACTGGATTTGGCTTGGTGCTATGCGTCAAGATCATCACATGACATAATATCAGTTGTTTAACACAAATCGTAAACGAGGCTTTCTGTATTGTCCATTAGTACCAGACACCATCTGTACAATAAACGCAACAACACCTTGTCCACTTCCATTAGAAACTCTGCCAACTGCAGAGTGGCCGGTACAACTGTGTCTATATCATGAGCATGTGTTAATGACTCACTATAAATGGGATTAGTTTGACAGATTATTACCTTGCGTCTTCAAACAGATGTAACGTACATCAGAAAACGGCGTCTGACCACCTGCTCAAGTCCTGTCATTATTCCCATTCGTTTAATTAACCACTGGGTCCAATAAAGACAATACTTCTCCCCAAGCAAAAGCAATCATATAATAGCTTTCTTGAAGTAACGTAACTTCAAATGATGCTTCGGATAAATCATGTACCCTATTTCAAATCACTTTTATGGCTACTGATAAACAACCTGGAGTGTTTGGTGAGGAATGGTCCGTCCCAAAACGAAGTTTGCTAGATTGCATATTCTTCCAATATAACAAAACAAACTTTGTGACAAAAGATACTTTACAATGGCATGAAAGGAAGCGTTTAACTTTGACCAAAGAATCAACACATCGCAAGTAACACGGCAGATAAAATTGTTGCGTGTTTGGTCGCAGCAAAACGTCACTGTTGTGCAGAGAAGGGACAGGGATAGTTTGTACATTGACATGGTACACAGTTTTAACTATTTCAAATAAAGTCGTCGAAGTAAACTGAATTTGACTGGAATTTGTTAAAAGTCGTGATTGTTCGATGCTTTGACATTTATGTAAATGCATTTATGTCTTTTGATAAAGATTTTGTCAGAGTACTGGGAAAAGTTCGATGTTTAGCACATGGTTTATAAGTACAAAAGTACAGCGTTTCAAAAAACAATATTAACCTGAATTAAGGGCTTGCGATCACTGTGAGAAATCGAAGATAATTACCAATTTGCATTTGTTTAATTCCTCGTTATTTTCGTCAGTATTTATCAAGGCGAGATTGGCTTCCCTCATGTCCCAAAATAGTGTAAATGTCATGACAGATTTAGCTCTGTAGTCATTACAAAAATTGTATATTTCTCGGTAAGAAGAAATATTAGGACGTATCAAAGATATAATAGATTTATTTATTGATCTGTATTACGTATTCATAGATAGTGATATCTCGGAATCTGTCTAGATGAGATATATTGGCATCTGTCTGAATGTGACATGTTGGAATTCGTCTCAGTGTAATATATTGGCATCTGTCTGAATGTGACATGTTGGAAACTGAGTGTGACATGTTGGAATCTGTCTCCATGCAACATATTGGCATCTGTCTGAATGTAATATGTTGGCATCTGTCTGAATGTAGCATATTGGCATCTAACTGAATGTGATATGTTGGCATCTGTCTGAATGTAATATATTGGCATCTGGCTGAATGTGCTATGTTGGCATCATTCTGAATGTAATATGTTGGCATCTGTCTGAATGTAATATACTAGCCACATAAAGAAACTGTGCATTGTCAAAATATGATCCCAGTTGATAAGTACGATAACAATGTCAAAGGTACATATAAACTTAAATGTCGGGAGAATGAGACCATAACAAGTCGGGATAATTTCAATTGAAAAGTCAATCACAATGACGTCACGAGTCCACAAGCGGGACAAAGGTCAAACGACCATGTCACAGACATCTGACTGAATGTAATATATTGGCATCTGACTGAATGTAATATATTGGCATCTGTCTGAATGTGATATGTTGGCATATGTCTGAATGTAGTATATTGGCATCTGTCTGAATGTAGTATATTGGCATCTGTCTGAATGTGATATATTGGCATCTGTCTGAATATGATATGTTGGCATCTGTCTGAATATAGTATATTGGCATCTGTCTGAATGTAGTATATTGGCATCTGTCTGAATGTAGTATATTGGCATCTGTCTGAATGTGATATGTTGGCATCTGTCTGAATGTGATATGTTGGCATCTGTCTGAATGTGGTATGTTGGCATCTGTCTGAATATAGTATATTGGCATCTGTCTGAATGTAGTATATTGGCATCTGTCTGAATATGATATGTTGGCATCTGTCTGAATATAGTAAATTGGTTTCTGTCTGAATGTAGTATATTGGCGTCTATTGAATGTGATATATTGGCATCTGTCTGAACTTTATATTTCAGCATCAGTCTGAAAGTAACATGTTGTTCTCAGTTTGGGAATTGAAACGTTGATATCTGTCTGTGAATATATCGTCATCATTATGAATGTTTACCATCAACACTACCTACTACTTACTGCATTGCTCTCTGTAGACCATGTTAGCATTTGTATTGTGCAATGTGTCCCGATTTGCATATAACTGTGTATGTGTATTGTTGTTGAGAAGTTGTGACTCTCAATATGGTTACATTGTGAGCTGATCCTGTTTAGTGTACGTTGTCGTATTTGTATGGTTTCAAATTAACAGTGCTTTGTTAAAGATTTGCAGCAATGTGAATGTAATACGTTGTAAATCGTGAATCGATAACAGCCATTAATGCAATCAGTCCTAACTTTGAAGCCTAAAAACACAATTTCGTTATTCGGTAATAATTTATTGAATACGATGACGATAGTTACGGGTATTAAAAGTTCCATTGAATATAATGAAGTTTACTTTTCAGCGAATTCAACTTTGGACAGATGATCTGGCTGCCATGGAATCAATGATGGAAAATGACAAATGAATGATAATCACATGAGATAGGTCCGGTGAACCGACAGAGATTTAATGGTTTGGAGTATTGCTCGAGTTAGCATGTCATTGATCTTTACAACGTAAATAACCAATGTGACGTATTCATTAAGCAACGCCTGGCTGCTCTACCGGATATTTTCAAGAAGTGGGTGAGCAGAGTTTTGCGTTTAATTATAAGATTATTGGATAAGACTGGCAAGGTCAAATACACCGTCATGCGCGGATGGAGGCCGTCTTATCTGTTTGAAGGACTTGTGTGAGTGAGTAAGTTTAGCTGTATGCCGCTTGTAGCAGTATTCCAGCAATATCACGGCAGGGTAACACCGGAAATGGGCTCCACACATTGTACCCAAGTGGGAATGGAACCCTGGCCTTCGGCGTGACGAGCGAAATGCTTTAACCACAGAGCCACCCCACCGCCCCGACTTGTGGGAAGACAACTGACTCCATATTGGAAGACTTTGTTTAACAGTAAACTTGTTATGTCACAGATGTCATGGTTTCTGACATGTGCAGCTGACCTAAAAGTAAACACTCTTAGGTCCAGATGACCGTCACTGTTGCGCTCCGTATTCATGCTTGGATCATTTTCATGATTTATAGTAAACATCTCGATAAAACTTTTCCTTATCATCCTGAATGTATTATATCCTTATCATTCTGAATTTAATATAGACTAAATGGAATATATCCTATCGAGTACGAAACTGAATGTAATACATACTTACCGGCCTAAATGTAATATATCCTGAACATCCTTAATTTCTTCTTACATGAATGTAATGTAACCTTAACAGGCCGAACTGAAAATATCCTTACCAATCTTAATGTAATATATAATCACAAGCTTGAGTGTCATGTATTCTTAACGGGCTGGTTGTAACATACACGCGTTTTACCTGTATAAGATGACATGTCGATACCAGCCTGAATCTTATGTAATAATGCAGGTTTTAATTTGATATGTAAGTAGCAGCTTGAAAGAAATATATGCTTCGTGCTATAAATGTGACAAATGAATAAACAAAATATTATTGAGACAATGGAATTGCATGACAAATACAGGTGAACTTAACAGACAACGTAATAACTGTACAGTTCGCTCTTCACTTAAAAATATAACATGCATATTAACACACATACACACAAACGTTTCACAAACAATAACTGAGGTTTACCCTTATACTTGCAGTGAAGCTAGGTGTGATAAATGTTACCATTTAGATGTTATTCAATAACAGATGTTAAATTGATTTGTCATTTATAGCATAACCTGAAAAATATTAATGAAAGTAATAAAGGTTACTTTGGACAAATGTACATTCGGGTACACATGGTGCAGGTGTTATATCCGAACCTCGAACAGCCTACGATTGCATCTGAGATGCTGTTCTAGGGAACCGGTTCAAAACCATAACATGAGTGACATCAAAACACTGTATATTTTATGTGAAAGAAACAGGAAGGAAGCCATTTGTGCCTCCATATCTAGCCTGGCCACATATTGTTCTCAGACAATCGAGCTTTTCAACATCTCTGACAGTTCTGCAGACATATAATCCCACATAACCTCACAATAATTAGTTTGTAAAGGAACATTTCCACTGACTTTCTACTCAATCTACATGTTATGCTCTTGAGACAATTTACCATAGGGTATGTTAACCCTTGGTGTTTGTGGTTGGTTAACCCCTGGAGTTCCATATAAAGTCGTCGATTATGTTTGTAATATCTGCTTCAATGTCATAATGGCGTTGTCTGTGAAAAAATGATATATCAGTACCAGTTTTAGCGTAATATATCCTACCAGTATAAAAGTGATATAGATATACCATCATAAATGTAATATGTCTTCATCAAGATGACCGTGATGTATCAGTAACTCTATAAATGCAATATATCACTTCCAGACTGATCTTGATAAATGAGTACCAGTCTGAATATTTTATGGTATAATCAGTTCGATAAATGTTTCTGCTATGGTGAGAGACTTGTGAACTCACTTGCTGCTTCGCCGTGAGAGAGGTACAGGATTGCCGTGAGAAGGACAGCGTTGAAGTAGGCGATACATTGTGACGTCATCTTCACTGTGTTGCTGACTGACCAGTAACTGTACAGGGGACAAGAGAGAAACGATGAGAGACAGGAGGGGTCGGCACAACTGGACGTCAGCGAGTCGCATCAGAGGATTGTCTGTTGGTGTCTAATTAAACAGAGTAAAGATATTCACGACTTTCATGTTGGAGTCTAATTAAAGGAAGTGACGATATTCACGATCTTCAAGTTGGTGTTTAATTAAACGTAGTGAAGATATTCATGGTTGATCGTGAGGGTAGAACTTAACCAAACATTTATTAATTATTTTATTGATCTCTTATCTGCTCGTTCCTAAGATTATAGGACTTATGATGCTACTTGTAAACCGCCTAAAATAACTTCTAAAAGACTGACACTAATTTGTATTGTCAAACAAGACAAACGTTGATGTCCAAGATATTTTTTATGGATTAAACTTCTTTTTTAATTTCATAACAAGTTTAATCCATAAAAAATATCTTGGACATCAATGTACAACTTCTAAATGCCACTGAAAGACATCAAGACAAACGTTGCTTTGTCAAATGGATTTTTCCTGAAATCAAAATACGAAAACACAGATTATGCAACACATTATCTTTGCCCAGAAGCGTATAACCATCGAGATGCCCACCAGGCGTGTTGTGATGTATCATCTCCCGATATATATTATTAACGAACAATCTATCTGTTATGCCAGCCATCCTTCAAGAATGGGGATGGTGTTGGAGACATTCGCAAAGACTGTGGGCTGCCTGTATTGTTTCGCCTAGTACAAATACATGGAATTCCCTGATTTCAAAGACAAAACATTGACGCTTTACTTCTCTTCACAGTCATGGATGAGGGCGCGAAGAGGTTCTTGGGTGTTGATAAAATCACGTTTACAAAAAATAACCATTGTTTTAAACGGAAGGCACAGTCGTTTTCTAGATTTGTCCTACATTTATTGCAAACCGACTTATGTCGTGTGAAGCCACATTAATGTGACCTATGCTGTGCATTTTGCAGCTTCGGGAAAACTCACGAGAATGACAGACCAAGACAGAACTGAACTTTATTCAGTCAAGACTAAATGGCATAGGGTAATCGGGTATAATGAGGGATTGCAATATGAATATATGAATTACATATTACTTAATTGTATGGGCTATTTGAGAAATTGTAGCAAGTTTCTTTTTCTGTATTTCTTTCTTTTTAATGTATTGTTTCACTTTCAAAAATAGATGTATTATATTGGAGATAGAATGTCCCTTCAGACAGTAATACGGCAACTATCTCATCTATATCAACATTCACAAACAAAAGATTAGGGTGTTTGGTCCGTAATTTGACATTTTTAACAAATAAATGGATTTGCATAAAACACAATTCCCCACTATTAGAGGTACACAGGGTGCCACCGACAAATCTCAGCTTGTAATCGGGGTTTGAAAGTCTGAATTGTAATAAACTAGAAATACTCTTATTGGTAAAATTGTGTAATAGAATTTATTTGAATAGTATGTTTTTAATACCTTTTAGAAATAACCTTTAGATTAGGAGTCTCTGTCAGATCTCCATATATTGATGTACAGGGTGCCGTTGTACAAAATAACCTTAGCGCTAAGGCTACCTTAGACAATGTTAATGTATGGGAGTTACGGTCACCTTAACGCTAAGATCGCTTTGTACAACGGCACCCTGGTCTTTATGGCAGTTCTTTATATTTTTTCAAATACAAGACATTTGTTATTCTTTTGTGTAAAATGTCAAAATGTAATTACCTGTTCGGAAGAGAGTTTTCTTGATATAAACGAACACTTATTTTATGATGTCTCAGTATTTTGTTTCAAAATAACTTAGAACTGTTTACATGATACAGGGACTGTTTGTTGGTTTTGCATTGAACTTTTTTGCAGATTATATTGTCTTTTTAAGGAATACAGTAAGTTTTAAGCATTTTTTCTCATTTTCAACATACAGCAGGTATACGGGGTGTTTTCTGCAATCGATAAAAGGTGGACATTTTCAAACAAGTTTTCAAAATCTCAAATATCTGAACCGTATGTTACAATAAGACTTACAATGGCATCAAGTAGCTTCATCTGTGAATTTATAGACAAGTACTACTGTCTGATTTTTATGTTATAACGTCAGTAATTTTAATGCCATATTCGCGTGTGTTTAGCACTGTAGATGGACGTAACGAGATTCCACTCAATCCTCGTCGTCCGGTAGTGTGTTCGAATATGCTAAGTCTCAACTGACAGATGACATCAAACCTCAACATTATTAAGTGTCTACTGTGACATCATTATGTTTTCATAGTCATATTGCTGAGCAAAGATGTCAATGACTATCAAAACAACGAGGATGTATACTGGGAAAATCATCTAACTTTCTATAAGCCCAAGCTGCTTCAGATATACCCTGATATGATTAACAATGCTAGACGAGGTGATATCATGGACCACGCTAAGATGTCGTGGTAGCATGTAGCCTGATCAGATACGGCGATGTAATGGACTACGATAGGAAGGCCTGACATTTGAAATCAGAAGCAAAGGAACACCAGACTTTAATAAACCGACTAAGGAAACCAATGACACGGCGTAAAGGACGTTAGGGGCTAAGAGCTCAAACCACAAACGGATGCAGTCCTTATAAACCAATGATTCGAAAATACCAAATGTGGATCCAGGAACTGCTAAGAAACCTGTTAGACCACAAGGCGTAAGATACTACACAAAACCAACACTGTATGTGCCAGTGATCTGAGCAGTTAGAAACATCGATACACATATTGCTGATGTTATACGATATGGGCATTCTCTTCCCCATGTCTAGACATTTTATTGACGGATAGGACACTGTCTGTTATTATCTCAGACGTAAGGAGCACTCGTGTACAAGTGGAATCTTTCTGATATTTTACAGGAGGGCTTGCAGTTCAACTCTGGCACTCATGGGCGACGTTCATCATTACATCTGCCCTCACATTCACATGGATGACGATATGGTGAGACCTCATATGCAGGTACCGGACAGTAGAAATACAGAAAATACTGGGTTCACAGGAGGTATGACATAAACAAAAGAAACGAAAGCGACAAAAACATGTCCATAAAAACAAGAAATCTTTACTAAAAGAATTGTCCCCTGTGATCATTCCTACTACATCTTAAGCTTGTGTTTATAAACTGCTTTCAACTAGTTCAACTACCATTTGTTCGTAAACAGGTGAGCATATCCTGCCCCATCGTCAACACATGTGACAAACACACGCAAAGGCAAGTAAATTGTTCAACTGAAATTCATTTACTCTTGACATCATACAAGTGACATCTCTACGCTGTTGTCGTAAAGTACAATATAAGAAGCTATAAAATTATGGAAAACGTAATTTACCAAAACAAGTGCGTTGTTACATTTACTGCTTCAGTAAAATATATATCTCCATATGAAAGACATAATATTTGTGGTTGTCAAGAAACAAAACAGAAGCCGCTTCCACAACGACTTCCACCAGAATATTAGGAATGATTAATATTCAAACGCATACTCATTGATTTAGCGTTCCTATTAATTCAAGCGTTTTATGATCTTTAATTTGAGAATTGTTTAACTGCTTTATATTAGCGTTTCCAGTTGTTTATACGCTCAACAATCTGTGTGCCTCTTGAAATGTCAAGCAGCGTTGTTTGAATCTCGGTCGTACAGTCGGTCACTCTCACCCCCAGTATTGCTATCAACGAATCAATACTGTTCTGTTTCCTGGATGCATGGGCAGAGATTTTTTGTTTGTCTCTAACGTTTTGAAAAAGAGAAACCAGAGTGATCACTGAAGAAATTCAGTGTTTATTGTACCGCTCTATAATGGATTTGTGTAAATCAAGATTTTGACTGTGTCATCGGCGACTTCAAAAGAAGCACAAGGACACCTTGAGAATAGGCCCAGATAACCTTGTTGCAGTAACAGTGTTCATTACAGATTGTAATGCACAATTATTTTCTACATTTCGGGCGTTATGCTACCAACTCTTCAGTCTCACTCTTGCAGTTGGTATGACTGTTTCCCGATTGTGTTGGCCAAGTGACCTGTAGTGCAGCTGAGTGACTCATTCAATTTGAACCTGACTTTATAAGGAGACGGGATTGAAAGACCTGGGAAATAATCAACAGGCCTAGTTAGTACATTGTGCCCATGTTTGACAATGGTTTGAACAACAGGACCATGTTGATGACACTCATACCGCACTGTTAATGAAATATATCAAAAATAATCTAACTGTCGATGTCGTTATGGTATTTCGGTTTTAGAAGTACACAATTTAAATGCCTCTATTCTAGTGTTTTCCACATTGAAATCTAAACAATATCTATCTAGATTGTTTCTGTTTCGCGACTGTGTCTGGTCATTCAAGTGTTCAGCGGTAAAAATAAAAAATGACAGAGTGGCTTTCTTTTGCTTCCAGAGCGAATTTCGACGACATTAGACTCTCGTGTATGTGGTCTGTTGTGTCAACAGTAAGATGACTAATAGATACTAATAACATATTAATTAATGTTTAAGATTTTTTATCAAGGCATGTTTGTGATTACTTGTGAGTTTGTGTACTTTAAAAACATGATGCATACCAATGTTGTTTGTATTCATATCTACGATGCTGGTCGACGATGTAAGAAACGTGTAAATGTCCGACACTTACGCGACTCACGTTATGAAGTCCATCATGCTCTGAGCGAGATTCCGATCAAAACAAACCCATACGCCACAGACGCAGGAAGAACCCCTTTACCCATTTACAACCGCTTGGATCAAATATTTATATAAAATCGGTACAAGAACATATATGTCGCCGAAAGTTTCGGACTGACCTTTGTAGAAACAATAAAACCGGATCTACAAGTAACCTGATAGGTCATGACGTACATTTGTAAACATAAAACGATGTATTCGTCGTGAGTCCTTCTCGTTATGTATTACGTAAAGCAGAACAGGTGTCAGGTTATCAACCTCGTAAAGTAAGTGTACATCAGCAAACCCTTGGC